TTCTTCTTCTTCTTCTTCTTCTTCTTCTTCTTCTTCTTCTTCTTCTTCTTCTTGAAAGTGGCACTGCAGAGAATCGTTCTTCAGAAATGTTTAAAAATATTTTTACCGGCGTCTGTGGTGTAGAGGTTAGGCGTTTAGCTATTGCACGTAGAAAACGTAAGCTCTATTCCAGTGCGGTGAAGATTTCTTTTTTTAATTACCTATCTCCGTCTGTCTGCTGGGACGTTGTATCCTTCTCAGCCCAGGGTGGCCCTGAATGTCACGGTCTAAATCATCTAAATTGTATCAATTTGGACATCAGTCATCTATACTTACAATGTACATTATTACATGCAGCATTTTCGAAGTTAATTCTGGAGAAATCATTACAAAACAGAAACGGAATCTAAAGTATCGTGGTCCTTTCGGAGATGGACGTTTAACTCGTAAGTCCCACCTCAAAATAACCTAACAGTGTTGATAGAGGCGTTAAACCTATACAATTTCACCGTTTTAAAAATATGGTATCGTGTGATTTTAAAACAGATTTCTCTTCTTTGTGAGTTCACTTCCAGGACTCAAATGCATTGTGTTTAGCCAACATTAGGGCTTCTGTTCTATTCGTTATGCGTTATTGTTTAAGTTTTGCCCTCTACTTGTGCCAGAGCAGCCTCACCTGGGTATCGCACAGTATGTCAGATTGTTCTTGTTGAGCACAGTGTGGATTAACCCTGGGGCCAGACCAGGTTCTGAGCACGTGCTTTGGATGAGGGACAGTCGCTCCTCCTGGTCCTCCTCGAACGTCTTAACCCGGGGTGGTGGAGACTTGGGGGGGGGGGAGGAATCACGAGAAAATATCTCTGATATGGGCAGTTCACATGTCATACGTGCAGACAGTTCGATACTTTAGAATTACAAAGTTTTATCTGCCCAGTGCCTAGTTTTGAGAAATTTGACCTGAAAGATTTTGAGTTTCACAACGTGTCAAGCTTTTCGAATGCAATTCTTTGAATATCTTGATAACGACTCCCAATAAACGTACGATTTTAATAGAACAAATAGAAGATTTGGTTGTTTTTGTTGTTGTTGTTTTTTTTTACCTCATTAGAACTCAATATGACCAAATATGTCACTTAAAACTTTGCATTTCGAAAGTAACGGGG